GGGTCGTGAAACATTAAAATGCTGGAATTGGAAAGTAAAAAGTATTTTAATGTGCTGGATATAATGAAAAGCAATGCCTTTGAGTAGCAGTCTGGTGAATGTGTTGGGGAGTGATTAAACATTAATAGCAGCTTCATATACTTTATAAAGTTTGCATAACCAATTTGCACTTTATAAAGACTGGCACTGTTCTGGAGTGTGGCCGCAACACAGACTTTATGAAGCATGCAGGAGGCAATACAGACTTTCTGAAGTTCACATTGAGAATAAGTATCAAATTACGTAGGAAAAGAACACCAAGCCCTGATATGTCCTGCATCAAAAGGAGCATGACTAGCAGGTCGAAGGAGGTGATCCTGCCCCTCTACTCTGCTCTCGTGAGACCTCACCTGGAGCATTGTGTGCAGTTCTGGTGTCCTCAACATAAAAAGGACATGGAACTGTTGGAACAAGTCCAGAGGAGGCCACGAGGATGATCAGGGGACTGGAGCACCTCCCGTATGAAGACAGGCTGAGAAAGTTGGGGCTGTTCAGCCTGGAGAAGAGAAGGCTGCATGGAGATCTCATAGCAGCCTTCCAGTATCTGAAGGGGACCTATAGGGATGCTGGGGATGGACTCTTCATTAGGGACTGTAGTGACAGTACAAGGGGTAACGGGTTAGAACTTAAACAGGGGAAGTTTAGTTTGGATATAAGGAAGAAATTCTTTCCTGTTAGGGTGGTGAGGCACTGGAATGGGTTGCCCAGGGAAGTTGTGAATGCTCCATCCCTGGCAGTGTTCAACGACAGGTTGAAAGAAGCCTGGGGTGATACTGTTTAGTGTGAGGTGTCTGTGCCCATGGCAGGGGGGTTGGAACTGGATGATCTTAAGGTCCTTTCCAACTCTAACTATTCTATGATTCTATGATTCTATGTGACTTGGAGACTCATGTCCATCTGCTCCCTGAAAGCTCCTGTTTCATTGATGCCTTAGGATTGCACTCCAAGCACAAGTCTTGAGCTTATTTCACTAGTTTTGAAAATAATTAATTAATTAATATTCAAGAGTTCAGAATCTTAAGTAAATTCTCATTTTTATTAGAAAAAAACAGAGAAGCTAGGAAACAGGTATGAAATATGTTAATAGAAAAAAATTTCATCAGCATAGCCATATGTGGTCATTCACACTAATTTTTCCTCAAGCAGCTGTACAATATGGGGAACAAGCATGACTGCAAAAATGTTATTCAGTGGGTTTCTCCTGCAGACCTCTTTTTTTGCAAAAATTATAAATTGCTCTTAAAAACCAGAAACTCATTATGGAACAAATGCTAATTTGCAGAAGGAAGGTTCATAGAGTACAGCGGAGCAAACCTCTCACAGGTATAAGCCCTGATCAAAGCAATGAAAAACCATAGATCTCCTAGATATTCCTCTAATTACTAAATTTCTTCCTTTATAAGGCCGTAACTTCAGCAGAACAGGGGAAGAGAAAAAGTGAAAAGGAGGAAGTGTGAGGATCCCCCTCCTAGATCAGCCAAGAGCCTCTCAGCTGCTGTCAGAGGAGGCAAGAGGAAGGGTTTGAACGTCAGAGGATGAAGAAGGAATTGAACTTGGATGCCTCACCTTCCAGTATCTTCTGACCTCAAGCTACTTCACACTTATTAGAAAAAACTAATTTTCAGGTCTGAATGGACTCGCTTTAAAGCTAAATCTTCTGCTCTGATGTAAATTTATCTTCAGAAGTGCCAATGCTGTTCTTGAGACAGGCATCTTGTAAAAAACATACACACAGGGCAGATATCAGCTGCGAAAGTACTGAAATAGTCAAAACTTTTGGGCAGCATGCCTATCTCTAGTTCCTGGAGAATGGATGAAGGCACCTCACTTGCCTGAAGGAAGGCACGTGGGGAGGTGAGATTCAAGGTGTAACCTCTCTCTCAGAGTTTGTTCTTGGCTTTTGGCTTACTTGGTGTTGAGGTCACCCTGGGCCACCCAAATCTCCAAGGATTCCCACTCTAAAGTAAGCTGAAGCATCCCAACATCACTCTGCCAACCACATGTGAGGAGGCTGCGTACCGAAGAGCGCACTGTCATGCTTCAATATTAGCCATGTACATATCTTCCTGATATCTTGACCCCTTCCAGTCACTAGGGCTTCACTACTATGCCTTTGCCTTCAGTGACAGCACACACTGGTTTTTAATGGTCATGCTGTAAGTTTCAAATTGGGCAAAATTCCTTTTATCCAAAAGGAAATCCTGCTGAGTGAATGGCTATGGAGTTTGCCTCTCGTAAAATTATACTGGTTATCAGCTCTTCCTCCTCACACACTTATGATCCATTGTGCAAACCAAAGCTTAAGTTTGAGACTTTTACTACAAACACTTTGAAATTTCATTGTAAACATAATTTGTATTCAGTTCTGCTTACATTGCAGATAGAGCATGAAACTTCTATTTTTTCAGTTTCTCAATGCTTGGGTTGTCCGTGAAATACAGAAAGCAGATGGTTTATTACCACACAGACACAAAAAAATAACAGCTCTAAGTATCATATAGATTTTTTTCCTTACTTATCGTGCTATCAATTAGATTATCTTAACTCACTTTTGAGGACAGCTGATCATTCAGATCCATATTTGGATTAATTATTCCACAAAACTTCTTTACAAATTGGTCATTTCAGAATTGCAGCTTTAGTCATCTCGCATGCAACAGTTTAGCAGGTTTTGTGTTAGTACATTGTGGACACTGGGAAAGAGCTTTTTTAATTCAGAAAATACTGAAGTATGGCATTATAATGTAGATGACACAATCTTTTCAGCTACCAAATCTGTGAGCTAAGATGATTGATTTTATCCAGTTTAAATCAGTATGAAATTGATTAAATGACCTAGCAAATTCTGTCATTCAGCTCAAGAGAGAAAAACCCAGTGCAATGTTTCAACTGCTGTTTCATTGCTTGTCCATTACTTAACAACTAAAATACAGCAGTTTGTGCATGACTAGGCAATGTACAGATATTGTTTTAGCGCATCATTATGAGTCTGGTAGATAGGTTTAGACTATGGATATGCGAACAAACTCTGTGTAATTTGCTGTAGCAGTGTTTAAAGGGCTTATGATTGGCAGCATAATTGATTGTGTTGACCAAAAGAGCCATGGACATCTGGCTTTCTAGCCCTACAAATGAATGACCATATGTTAAAAAAAAATACAGTGTGAGAGGGGAAAATATAGTTGTAGGCTGAATACATGAGCAGGAGGTCAAAGCTAACAGAAATCCAATCCTGTCACCAGCATTGCTCCGACAAGGGGTGAATGCTGTTGGGCTGTTGAGCAATGCAGAAATAATGTTGAGTTGTTGATCAACACATAGTTGAGCTGATGGCTGGATAACTGTGAAAACCTCAGGGATCTCTCTGCTTTACCTTCCCTGATGGTGAGAAGAAGAATAGTTAACATTACAAACGCCTACAGCTGAGCAAAAGTGTATTATGTCCATATGTTCAACTGTTTCACCGAGCTTTGACTGAGTACAGTGTAACTGTTTAAGATCAAATTAGGGCATATTACAGTTTTCAGCATCAATCCCAGTTTTCCCATGCTTACAGTTCTGGAAACAATGCATCCTTTCAAATTCATTGCTAGTGAGTTATGAAGGGACTGAAGCCACCCCTTCACTTGTAATTTATTGTTTGAAGTCCTTTTTTTAAATGCTGCTGTCAAAGTTGTGCTCATAAGCTTAAAATCATTTGCTTGTGCTGAATCATTTGTTTCCCTATTTGAGCTCACAAAAAGACATGAATTTTATAAGCCCACCTTACAGCGTGAATGCTAAACCAGAAATACCTCTATTGGCTTAGCAAAAAAAAATAAACCAACTTATTTCTGAATGTAAAATAAGAGATAAAGATGTGCCTTTACATAACTCTAAGTGCCACACAGTGGCATATTTTTCATTTTTGTCAGCAATGGATGACAAAGAACATATATTGAAAATAGTATATGTAAATTGTGCTCAAGAAATGAGGGGCACAGATTAGAGATCTTTACTCCTCTTGAAGTCAGTATAATGCATTTCAGAGACTAAATAAACAAAATTCACATCAAGTTGGCTGGCACTTTGAAAGGTGCTAACTCAGCAAACTGCTGCGATTTCTGCTGAATTGAGCACTTTTTATTCTTTGAAACAAACATCTGTGTTTCAATGTGATAGATTTTAATATAGTTAGACAATACAACAAGATGTGCTTTAGAGAAAAACATCAGTGTGAATGAATGGTTCTTGTGAGCTCCACAATACCCACTTTTAAATTATATTGAAAAATAGATTTCTCTCTAGAGTACTCCTATCAACCAAGAATAATCTTTTGTATTATTAAGTGAAGTCAACAGAGAAGATAAAAGGGTATTTTTCCCCAAAATATGGTATTTTTCCCCAAAATATGGTATCAGGCATTTTAAATTGGATTTTTTACATAGTATACTAAACTATAGCATTTGTATATGTCAGTGGTTTAAGGTGACTCATGCACTGAATTAAAAGGTGCCAAGGCACAATATGTAGTACAGCCAAGCACATCACAAATCACAAAATCATTCACTTCTATTTGTTTTCACAGTCTCACTAAGTGAAGTTACTCAAAACAATTCTAAACAAGAACCAGGGGGTGTGGGGGGGAAATAAGGAGAAAAAGTAAACTCATTCTGGAACTAGGAATAGGATGTTATTCCCCACCTCCCAAGATAATTAGCAAATATGTCTCCCAAGCTCTGAACCAGTTTATGTTTTGGGCTTTTAGGATTTTCCTAATCAATTTAATCCCAACCACCAACTCGATGTGGCCTTTTACAGTTCTTCCCCCACGTTTCAGAAATGATTTTACAGAATATGGGTCCCAAATCAGACAACGGCTTTGATTTCCGAGAGCACAAGCTGTATGAGAGCACACAGTCATTGCTCCTCACAGTCCCAGACCTCACGTCCTCAAGGAAGCATGAAAGTTCTCTAGATACTTGCAGAAAAGCATTGCATAACATTTTATTTCATGTTCAGTAATCATTTTGTCACTGGGTTCAGATGATAAAGTGGATACAGATGTTCATTAGCAACAAAAACATATGCAAACAAGGAAGCAATCCAAGAAGCTGCTAGCATCTGAAAAGTCCAAGGCTGACCGTCACATGTTCAAAGTCACAAACATCTATCTTTAGACCAAAAAAGAAATCTGACCTCTCCACCATCTATAAGAGTGCAAACTAGATTTCCTTATCCTAAGCATACTTCGAGAGTAGAGCCGTTTTTTACAGGTTATGTTTAAGCCTCAATGGCCAAAGCATGTAGAAGAGTTTGCAACTTTCCTGCCAACCAGGGTTTGCTCCTACAAATCTTTCCATACAGTCTTCCCTACTACACCTATTTCCAAAAACCTCCAGTGGTTGGGAGCAGACATTCACAGCCTGGCTTTGCTCATTTTATTTCTGGAAGCAACAATAGGTGATAAAACAGATTCCTCCTGGGGTCTTTTCCAAAGGTATTTTCTCTCCCAGCTTCCCAATAGAGGAGGAAAACACAAAGAAGATCATCTGCAGGGAGAAACAGCTTCTGTTTGTCATGTCAAACATCCCAGACTCTATCCCTGTCCTCTGGAGGGAATCGCTCACACAAAGAAGATTAGCCAAAAGGATTAGCATGCAGCTGGATTATCCACACACACCGCTCAGCCAACTAATCAACTAGCACCTTTATGTGTTTTCTGCCTTTTAACCTCTTGGTTTCCAGACTTCTGATACTCATCCCTTTAAGCACCAACATATTTTAAGAGATGCTGGATACACAATTGAAGAAGATACTTTTGTGGTTAATCTGGCATGTCTGAGTCATTTCTCATCAGCCACAAGATGTCAGTGTTGTTGAATGTTATTATTCTTACCTGCAAAGAAGCATCCGTAGATATTGCAGAGGGTGGCTGTCAACACTGGGCTTTTTCTAGTAAGTCTAACAAAAAGAAAAACACAAAACAAGCAAGAAATAACATGCAACTGACAATAAATCTGCATGGCAAAGTCCTATTTGGTATTAACCATAATATGCAAAACTTGAACTGCATGGTTATTGCTACCACCTTCTAACATGCAAATCCCTGTGTCTTTTCACAAGTCCCAACTCATGAAACTCTTAAGCTTGGTAGACGGTTCTTGCACAGCAACATCACTTGGAAAGGAGCAACCAGAGGTGCCACCAGAGCTGTTTCATCATGAAGAAATTAGTCCATCCCACCAGAAATGAGGCTGCGCAGGAACTCTGACTGTACCAACTATCACTGAATAAGATATCTGAAATCAAAGAACATGCTCATAGCTATCTGAATGTTTGGGGTTTTTTTACTCTTGGCATGTACTCACACACCCTTCTGTCTCTGGCAGCAAACTCTGCCCACATGGCTCCATCATGGAGATCATTCTGTGCCCAGACTTGTTTCCTCTCTGTATCACTTTCCCAATTGCATGAGCAGACGTTTTTCTAAGGTCAAACTACAGATCAGTTTACTGAACTATCTGGTTTTAAAACACCTTTTCCTCTTCCCAACCCTTTCCAAAAGGCCAAGGTCAGGCAGAAGGGGAACTTTTGAACTGATATTGTTGTGGACTTAATGTATTGTGAAACTGCACCTCGGATTTCCTCTGCAGACCGACTGACCCGAATGTTGATTATGTTTCTGCTTCCTTCTTGGTTGCAGGAGATTTGCTTCACCAAACACTGACTTGACTTCCACTTCTAAGTATAGCAGAGCACAGGTACAATTACCATGAGAATTCCTGTTTACATTATTTGCTGCCACTCGTGTCCTCTGAACGTGTTTACTTTTGAAAGCACAGGAAGCATGACTCTGGTGGGAGTGGAGACAGGACTGCTCACTGTGAAAGAAATTACATGAATAGAGATGGATGAACTTATCCGCACTTGCAGTTATAAAAGTACAAAATGGAAACACGGTTATTTGTGCTGGAAGTTAAGGAGACAGATAAATAATTTCATTCATCAATATTTTCTTTTTAAAACTATGAATATATCTCCCAATAGCAAATAAAATATTTCAATTATGGGGCAAATTTAAGGGGAAAAGAAGATTTTACCTAATTCTTACAACCTTTCCCCAGCTGCCTTCCCTGCCCCTCTTTTTCTCCCCAAACCCCGACCCATTATCTGAAAACTGTTGCCATAGGCAAAACGACAAGAATAAACCTCATGGAAAGGCTTTCCTGTTTCCAAGTCTTCTCTCCAATTGTGCTGAACACCTCAACTAGGAAAATCCATTCCTGGTTTAATAAAAATCATTCCTCATAAAGAGAACTCCTGACAGCTCCTCCTGTTCCATTAAACAGTCTGGTTGTAATGACCATAAATCCCTACATTTATCTCCATCCCATCTTTGCTCTGTGTCAAAGGCATCATCTTCTCTGCTGGAGCCGGAGATCCTGTTTGCTTGACACCTTCCTGCTTCCCCTGTTAGTGACAGCAGGCACAAACACGCCAATATGCACAGGTCTGAAGCCGCTGGTGTGCTGGCTGGTGTGCAGAGGTGCGGGCTGACTCCTTGCTGCCTGCACAGTGACCATTTGTCTGCACTTTCTGCCTGCCTGGAATTCTGGTCGATTAATGCCCGAAGTGGTAGAGTTGGCAGGAGCGCCGTGGAGAGATTCTCAGAAAAGCCTTATGGTTTCTGTTGAGCTAATTTGCCTCAGTAAAAAGTTGCATTTGCAGGGGTCATCTCGGGATGAAGGTGACTGGGATTTACTCTTTTTTCCCGGGGTCCCGCTCAGTTAAAGGTGTTTTTATGCAAATCCTAAACTTCCCAAGCTATTTACCAAACCTACGGAGACCGGCTGAGACTCCGCGCTGCAAACCCTCGGGGAGATGGACGTTCGTTTTTAATATCATTCCTGGAAAAGTTAAAGAGGTGACTGAAGCAGGGTTATTTGATCCAGTTCATACGTACTCAGGGGCTAGCTTAGCTAAACAAGGTATTGTGCTTCAAATAACTAGGGCAGTGGAAGACGTAAAGGTTGGGACAACATGGGAGAGGATTTCATCAACCCCAAATTAATAAAGACAGGGATGGAAATACAAGAGTTCTTAGAAACTACAGACTGGAAGAGTATCTAATTTCAGGCATTCTGGTGCAAAGGTGAAACAGCCTCATTAATGTGCACTCTGGTATAAGCCAGTTCTGGCACCAGAGCCCTGCCCTAAGGGTATGACTTTTTCACCTGCTTTTGTTTTCCTTCCCCCCCAAAAAACTAAGGGGTTTGCTGGTGGGAGGTAGGGCAAGGCACAATCCTAGGGTCCTTTTCTTAATATTTCTTTGTTAAGCGGGAACTTATCAAATGAAAAATGCAGTTCTTATTTTGAATTATAAAAGGGCAAACTCTATAGCTTAATTCGGTTTCACATGCAATAACCTTTCAAATGGTGCTTGAAAGTCAAGTCAAATTTCAATATAAATGATATTGCCAGGTTAACATTAACATATGAGACACTGCCCTTTATGTTTCTCTATCATCCCTTCGAATGTGTTAAACAGTAATTTTAATAGAATCATAAAAATCTTCAATTTCCTCTGTAGATTCAACCAATGCTAAGAGTAGTAAGAGAGTTACGCTTCTGTCTCATTTGTAAGGTTTGTGATTATTTTAACATCTTAGGTTTTACAGGTCTTGTGTACTTAGGTCTGTTACCTCTTTGCTTAGAAATACTTTCCCAGCAAGAACTGCTCAAGCTATATTGTTATTACTTGCTTCTTCTAAGAAGGATGTTAGAATTGTAAGCTATAAGTGAAAAGAAAAAGGGAGGTACTGAAATATCCTAACACCCATGTGCTTCATAATTTGACTTCAGTGAAGATTCAGTGCTGTGAATTAAACAAGGGCGCTGGAAAGTTATTTAACTATGTATCAGATACTGATACGTCATCAGGTTTTAACTTGAAAAACATAAGCCCACAAAGTAATTTCTTGAGAAGCATTCAAATGACAGAAAACAGTGGGGAGAGCAAAGATGCCATCTCGGCTTAAACTACAGCCTTCCAACACACAACTCTGTTGCTGCAAGAGGGAAGACGTGTCACTGCAAGAACCACAGAGGCAGAGAGGGTGCAGGAAAGGCACCCCACACATGCAGAGACCAATTTTGCTGGGCGCACCACACCATCACCAATGCAGCCACCTTGCTCTGGTACTGTGACTGTGGTGACTGTGCAAAGGGGCGGATGATCAGTCCATACCAGCCAGGAGCCAGGGATGCAGCTGTTTCTGTACTGGATGAACCATCAGTGGTGGATCAGGTGTGAAGAGCCTGACTCATCCTTTCCCGCAATGCGGCAAACTTGGCCATGAGCAAGGGCTTTGTCTCCCCAGCCAAAAGTGAACCCTTGCCCAGCACGAACAGGCATCCAGGAGCTGTTGTGCCACCCTGCCTTCCCAAGCCCAGCACTTCCCAGCCTTCCCGCCTCACAAATCATCCGCATCTGTAGGCTTTGAGCAGCCAACTCATTCACACTTTCCTTGCCCCATTTGAAAGTGGAACCACTCATACCAGCTGAGTGCCTTTAGAAATGATAAGTGCTGCACAAAGGAGTATAGATTTCCTTTTAATTGTTCTGCATTCAGGCTGTGGGCAAGATGTGGCTGCCTGGACAGAGGTGGCGGGATTTGCACTTCAAAATTCACTTGAAAAAGATTTGGCACAGGTTTTGTTGGGTTTTTTGCTTTGCCATCCCTGGGGAAAAGCTTTCAGCAGAAGCTGCTCTGCTGATTCTTAAGGAAAAATAAAGTTCTGGCCATGTGAAAAGGCAAAATGAAACATTCCAGCTTGCCCTGATGCTTCTAGGGCTTGAAATAGGACAGAAGCATCATTTCAGGGACAGGAGGGGCATTCTGCTGCTGTTATGAATATTTGCCCAAACTTAGCCAAAACAACCACTTCATCTTACACAGTTCCAGTCACCTCGTTAAGGTTTAAAAGTGCAACTTCCAAAACCACTGTGGAAGTGTAACTCCAGTCCCAATATGCAGGCACAGAACTGGAGGTCCTCAGGCTTCCTCTGCTAGATATTGTAAGCAGCCCTCCAAAAAATAGGATTTATTAGGCATCAAGCCACAGGTTTCACATTTATTACAGGGCAAGTCTTTCATGGATGACCACCAGCCAGTCACCTTGTCTTTTCGGATGCCTTACTACAGACACCAGCTGTATGAGTTCCATGTATCTTTGCTATGAACACATAAAGCACTATAAAATATTAAAGGCTCTTAAATAGAATATCATAATCATCCTGTTGCCTTTTTGACACGGGAACATCTGGCTCCATTCAGTATCTGTACGATAGACCCAATAATGCCTCTTTATAAGGCTATTGTGAATAGAAACATAATAGTCTGGAGGAATTGTTAAGATACAGTAATAATGAAAAGGACAGATGGAAGTCTAGAATGAAACTAATAATCCCATTTTAGTTACTAAACAAAGCCAGAGGCCATACTTAATAGTGGGACTAAAATACCTGTGATCACATCAAGTGAGAGTTCAGCATGGTGCAAAAGAATCAGTGTGAAGGTAGGATTTCAAAAAGTGCATTAATTATGTTATTTCTTAACCTTAAGCACTTGATTCAGCCTTAATATTCACGGAGTGTAGGATTTTCTCTCATACTCAGACATTAGCTATGCATTGCACCTTCTCTAAATTCACAACAATTTGATCTAAAACAGACTGAATATTTGGAAATGATTTATTGCATACCTAATGATCGACTTCTTTTCTAATTATGGACTAATATTTTAATTTCTTAAGAATTTCCTTTAACGTCTTGCAAGGTAAGCAATGATTTGCATGATTGCTTATCCTTATATTAGCATTAACTCCATCCAACTTTACCCTAGGTTTATTTTTAGTGGAAAATGTCCTGAGACATTACATTTTAAGCATCAGTCATGCACTGAATCTAACCTACAAGCACAATCTGGATCACCCTTTTTTCAGAAGGCCACATGTATAATGTCAGTAGGATGTGATGCTTTCAGCCCAGAGTATGTTTTTGAATCAGGGCCTGGCTAACACATCAGTTATGGTTATTTGCAAGTTACATTTCAATATCCAGCTCTTCAGGCTGTGTGTTTTTGTAGTTGCAGCTTTCCACCTCCCCCGCGCTGATTTAAGTGATGTTATTCTTGGCTAATAGTAATTGTGAGAAAATTGAATTCCATCTGTTTCCACCAAAAGTGGAAAATAGAATGTGCGAATCAATAGAAGGCTGCACTTGTTATACACATTTGTCACAATCAGTGGCTTTGCTAAGGAAACATGTCTGCAGGTACGATTTGCAAAATAAATAGCAAGCCACAGCATCTGATCACCAGCTGGCTTAGTTAAAAGTCAGAGCCTCTTCCGACAGCTACGGATCATGAACTTTCAGATGCTGCATGGCCCCTTCCAGACTCGTTCAAGGGGAAAGACATCTTTTACGGTACAAATGGGTGGATGAGAATTGTAACGCAAGTATAGATCTGGCTCTGCAGTCAGCATGGAAGTATTGGGTTCACATCTGGCAGTTTCAACACCTTAGATGATCACTTTCTCATACTCATGCTGATTACTCCATATCCCTTATAATTTCAGACGTAGTTACAGTGCGTCACCAGAGATCTCTGTATGACTAATACCAGCATCATTTCAGGTCCTCTCCCTAGTTAATGCTGTAAGAATTGAAATCTCTGTGGTTCCCCTTGGCTGAGCTGTCTCATTCGTGGTCATGACCAAACCACAAAGAGGCAAACACACAGCACTTTAAATAAGTCCTAGCAAGCCTGTGTTTCATGTACAGGCACAACACCACTCTTTCTTCAAAGCCTTACTCTAT